GCCTCAGAGTAAAGAATTTCTTCTTAATATCTAATCTAAACCTGCTCCCTTCCAGTTTTAAAGCCATTTCCCCTTGTTCTGTCATTAAGTGCCCTTACGAAAAGTCCCTCCCCAGCTTTCCTGTAGCCCCTTCAGGTACTGGGAGGCCGCTATAACATCTCCCCAGAGCCTTCTCTTCTCCAGGCTGAACAGCCCCAACTCTTTCAGCCTGTCCTCATAGGAGAGGTGCTCCAGCCCTTGGATCATCCTCATGGCCTCCTCTGGACTTGTTCTAACTGCTCCATGTCTTTCTTGTGTTGGGGGTCAACATCATCTGAAGTCTTTAACATGAATCTGAGGGGCTGGTTTGTTGTTTGAGTGGGTTTTTTTGTTTGAGTTTTTTTATACTTTAGCTCCACCAGATGTTATAAATGCAGTGAAATTCTGACGCCTGTATTACTTGGGTCAGTCTAGGTGATAACAACGTTAAAAACAGAGGAGATCATTTCTATCCCCAGAGTGCCACCGAGCTTTCACAGGAGATCTTCTCAAATAATAATGTTAAAGAGGGAAGACAGGGTCCCTGGTCTCTCACCTTTGTGTATATGCAGATTGGATTAGGAGATTCTAAGGAGGAACAAGCAGGCTCCTTTTCCTCTCCCTCCAGATAGTGCCTACCTTTTTGCAGGGTTTTACCTATCAAAAGCCCTGACATTATCACACCAGATGAAAGACATTTGCAGGAGGGACTCCTGAAGAGTCTCCTGCGCCCAAAGGGTTCCCCACAGCTCTCATCAGATGCCCTGGCAGAGCGCTTAGGAGAGGCAGTGCATTAGACCAGGAGAAGCTGGACAAGCTGGATGTTGGCTCTCACAGAGCCCAAGGACCACTCCGGAGTCCTCACATCTCAGAGCCCGCTCCAGACAGAGGAGGAGCCTGGCTGGATCTCCATGACCCAGTTATGGACCATGTAATTCTAAGAATAACTTTCACATCAAGCGAGGAGAATTTTCTTCTCCCAGCCCCATAAACATATCCCTTACCCTCATTACATTTTTATTAAGACGTCCCTCAGCACGAGTGCCAAACAAATCTTTAAGAGACCTGAATTTCTTCAGCGTGTGCACAGCCATGAGCATGTGTGCGTTTCCCTATCTCAGACAACACAGAGCAGACACAAAGAGGAACCCTCTCGATAGGATGGATGCCTGAAGAAGCACAGACCAGGGAAGAGATGGCACAGTAGCAGAAAGGAGCATGGGATGAGAGCCCCAGCTTCTAGAACCGTGAGCTGTTCACTGAGACAAAAAAAATGCAGAGAAGCCAATGAGCTCAAACATCCCTTCCCCTCATCCACTTTTTTGATAATAATGATCAAGAAACTTGGCATTCATAAAAGCCACAGACATCTCACGTGAAAATACAACCCGACCAGCCTTCGTTCAAGCAGGAATCCCCACACGAATAAAACAAATCTTCAAGGGGGGGAGAAATAGGGATTACAACAAAATTTTTCAGCAGACCCTCAGCTAGAGCAGCACTAGTGGGCGCAGCTATAATTACAGCAAACCTACATAATGCGTCTGAACTAGCTTAGCCCTTTCCCTGCAAGCAGAGAAGCTGCCACATCAGTAACTCCGTTGCTAGGGCAACTGCTTACTTTCCATATCAACTGCAAACTCGTTGCTATGGAGACACATATACAAGAAAAATTCCTCTCTATAGCCAAGGACCAGATGGCAGGCAAGTCAGGGAAGTCATGGGCTAACAGGCTGTACTAAATGGGACACACACTAGAGGACATTTAGATCTGTACCTTCACAATAGGATTAATCTGAATGACTGAATTCACAGGTCTGGCAGTATAAACAAAGCCAGGGAACTCCTCGTCTACTCCCCATCATGTGATACTTCACGCTCTGGCCAACTATTATTAAACTGCTGAGCTCAATGCAAAGAGGTTTGTACAATCAAGGGCTCAGCATTTTCCCTTCTTCAGCCGGGCTCTCCGTCTCCATCCAGGGGATCGGCCTCATGGCAGAGTTACACCAACAGTCACTCTGTTGGCTTGCCAGGTAAGCCTGATGGCATTGCAGCTGCACTGGAACAGCAGTAGTGCATAAACAAACCTGAGGAGAAAAACGTCTTTTCCCTGCATTCCACGCCAGACCTAAAAGCGCCAGGACAGGACAAGTCAAAAACTCAAGTGATGCAGCCTGGAAGCCTTTTTTTCCCCCCCCTTGTTACAAGGATCTCACATGAGGAAATGCAAGTATTCATATGCAGGCAGAAAAAGCTGCATACTACTAAATACATATTTAGCCCCATGAATATAAATTAGTGAAACCCACGACTGAGAAAATTGCTATGCAGAGGGAATTCAAAAAAGAATTAAGTGTTCAGCAGAACTTTTTTTAGAAAAACGATTACTGAAAGGCTACACAAACAAACACTGGAAAGCACAACTACAAGAGGAAAAGCTTCTAGCTTTTCACATTGTGTTAACGCACATCAACCAGCAAATGCCTGCAATTCCCAGCACTGATTAACTCCTTCCCCCCGTACTGTACCCATTTCAAAGCCTATCTTGTTAGCATTTTATAACATGCCATTTGCTAAATGCTTTCTTCCCCCCACATAAAAACAGTAAGAATCTGTTTGCAAAAGGGAAGAAGTGGCATGAAACGATTCCTTATAGAGAAGAGTCCCCCCCCTTCCCCAAGCCCCAGCCCAAAACTGGAGAACCCTTTAGATGGATACCTTCCTTCTGAACAGTAGAGATGATGGCTGCAAGGTACTCAGATCAACCCCAAGTGTGCATGTGCACACACACAAAGGTATTTTCAAAGACAGCAGTTGACGTTTACTGCTTTCCAAGTCCACAATTAGCTGTCAAGCATCTGATTCAGCAGCTCTGACCGAGCGCCAATTCTGTGCTCTGGACTCTGTCTGCCACGTCCCTTGGCCAGGACATGAGAAAAAACCCAGCAGGGGATTTAAACGACCTGTCTTTGTGCATTTTACACAATGAGATTCTCATCTCATTCACCTTAAAGCTGGCTACCTGCAGTTATTAGAATTTCCTCTACCTCCTGTACATGCTTTCTCATAACCTGGGATTTTCCAGGAATGAACAAAACCCCACCTTGTTATTGACACAGGCATGGCCTCCCACCACACCTTGTTGTCTAGCTATGTAACCATGGCTCTAATCACGAATTCGAGACGTAGGTGACCGGTCACGCGTTGTGCTCTGCCACTTCCCTGTGGAGAAGCAGCGCGTCGTGGTATTGTTCATACAAGCTCAGCGGACTGACGGATATTTGACAGATAGACATGAAGACAAGTTCCTTATAGGAAGGAAGCTGTAACCTAAATAGTCGACTTGTAAACAGAGGAAGAGGGATAGAACCAAACACAAATGGCAATGCTAAACGCATGCCTTGCCAGTTACAGTATTTCTGGGGTTTTTTTAAAATGTATTGTGTGAAGGTTTCTTATGGTCTGGGACAGGATCATAAAAATCCAATGTGGCACTTGTTATTATAGTCTCACTTCCAAACAAGAATTTAAGACTCTGGTTTACACAAAACCAGACCCAGTTCAGGAGCAGGATTTTAATTTCACACACAATCATTCACAGCAACTAATTTATAAAAATACCAATGTACAGTGTGTGATCACCAATACATGGACAATGGATTCTAGGGAATGACATTTGGGGGGGGGGAGGGGGGGAAGGTAAGAGGGTCAATCATTTAAAAAAGGAAAGCTTCCAGAGAAAATGAAGTAATTCAGAATGAAAAGTCGCTAGTTTAGGGTAATGTACTACTCTTCCTCTAGAGTTATTTGAGCTCTTATTCCACAGCATTTAAAGATAAATCACACACAAAATAGGGCAAACAGCACCACCAACAGAAGTCTAGTTTCAGGATAACCAGTTACAAGACAATCACAGCATTTACTTCACTGAAATACACAAGTTGAGTGCATCTATTGTTTCTGCCAGGAGAAAGTGTCCACTTTCTGATCTTCAGCCAGTTTTAGAGACAGTCAGTCACTGATGTGATATTACCCGCTATTTATTTCACTAACCTGTGAGAAGGCCTGCAAAATTATTCTGCAAGCTGATATGTTTATCAGTATACTTGTACTTTGCCAAAGATTCATCCAGACCACTGCCTCTGAAGATGGTCCCCTTTGGAAACTGATACCTGCTCCCCAGCAGTCTGACGCGGTGGAAGGCTACGTGAAGGACTGACTGCCTCCCCTGCTCAGCTCGCTTCCCCAGACCCTCACACACAGCCTCTTCCTGCTGGGGAAGCCGCTGAGGATTCAGCAATGAAACCAGGCGACAACAACAGAGATCTGAAAGCAAAAATGTGCTCCCCAGGCTCCTGCCACCATGCCGGTCGCAGAAGCTATGCAAGCCCAGGGAGAGAACGACTGACATTTTGGTGAATGGTAACTTTCACCTTTGATGCCAGATCTATCTCATCTCTTTGAAGAGTTTCTCTAAAACCTGCCTGAAACAGAACAGAGCTTCATCACCAAAATTCAGAACTATTTCTGCTTGTCTAAAAATAAGTTTTTTCAGATTAAAACACAGACCAGAGAAAAAGCGACGGACTCTTACATAAGGCATTTCACTATACATTCGTATAAGCCAAGAACAGCAAGCAGCCTATTTATAACATTATTACATTCATCTAGTATAGCTGGATACCATTACCACAGCATGATCACTAAAAACAATATTTAACCACTATGCATGAAGACACCAGCTGGGGGGAAAAGAAAAAACACACACACACCCCGAGTACTTTCTTACAGATGTCTAGACAATGACTTTAATAAAATCAGAATGAGCCACGCTAAAGAAATGTTGGTTCTCTGAATTTAATGAACTATGTTACCAGGGACAGAGTTGCATATTCTGCATTTCACTGTTAGGGAAACATTCTGGGATTAGCAGGTGAATATTTTCAGAGCCAGATAGGTTTCCATAGTTCCAAACTTACCTGACTTCTGTCTTTGTCCACTTTCTTAAAACACTTATTCAAGGATAGATTATGTCTCACAGAATTTTTCCATCCTGTGGGTGCATTTGCAAAATACGGAAAGTGTTCCAAGATCCAGTTGTATATATCCTTTACAGGCAGTCTTTTGGTTGGCGAGTCCTCAATGGCCATAAATATGAGGCAGCTAAAGGAATAAGGAGGTTTGCAGTTGGGGTTCTGCTTGGCATCATAGGGCATGTCAGAGTGGGCAGGAGACGGCGGCGTGTCATCACCGATGTCCTGAACGGGGCTAACGCTCCTTAACACCGAGTCCCCAAAGCTTTTCAGCAAGTTCTTGCTCTCGTGTAACCAGTTCAAATTAGTTAGTTCTTCATCTTCCATGGCCCCTTTATCTAATCTGATGGCAGGCAAAGAGAAATCTAGGTCCTCGTCATCGTGAAGTGCCTTTGATAAATCGCTATCTTGGTAACGTTGGCTCAGTCCGCTGGGAACACTAATTCCTGAGCCCTCCGGCTTCTTACTGGGAGGCATGACCGGACCCATTTAGACAACGACTCCTGGGAGAGCAAATCCAAAGGAAAGGGAAAAAGAAACAGAGAGAAAAGTTAGCTCAGAAAAAGATACCACAGAACATTCTGACAGCTTTTCCCTAACTGGTCACTCGGCCTTTTGCCATCTGTATTAAAAATGACAGACTCACTTAAACACTCAAACACAACCATTTGAGTAAAACAATCTAAAGTCAGGACAAGGGAAGAAATTTCAGTCGATGTAATAAGACAATAACCCCACAACACCTCAGTTCTGCACGTACGTGAAGCCCCACACAGGAAATCCTAAAGACATGTTCCTTTAATGATAAATATGTGTATCAAATCACTGAATGCTCCGATTGTATCACTTTAATAAGCATGTAAACTAAAAAAAAATTAAAAAAATAAAAAATAGAGGGGCTTAAGGCCAGTTGCTTTAGATTAAGTTCAGCTGTTTACTTTTGAGGACAATACAACAGCACCATGATTAAAGTCACTCTGGCTAAAGGCTGAGGCAGACAAGCATCCAATCTGACTACAACTGCAGTTGCAGCAAAACTCTCAAACGACAGCAGAACTTCAAGACCAGCAAGGGTGGAAGAAAGGAGGAGGAAAAACAACTCACGGTAATTTTGGGACCAGGGCCAAGACACAGGGAAACAAGCACCAGAGGAACAGAGCACTTTAAAAATGTATGTAAACAGAGAAGATTTTAACATGAGCTGAACTGTATTTCAAACATGGGAGAACACAGAGTCAGAAAGACTGCTGTGATGCTCAACAGTGGCCTGGGAGAGGTGGGACGAGCTGCTGCGGGTACTGCACCAGCAGGTCCTGGGGGGAGACCTTCGAGTGGCAGCATTGGGAGGACCTGAGCCCTTCAGAAGCTGGGTGAAGCTGGGTGCCCGCTTAACTCAAAAGAAGCGGACAGGAGCCCAACAATTCTACTTCAGAAGCAGGAGACAGGCTCCCTTAGCTCCTCCATACAGTAAAACCGACAGGATTAAGGTCTGGAGATGTCAACAGCAGTGAAATAAAAATTGGGAAGAGTTAATAACATACTTAAAAGCGACAAAACTTCATGCACAAATGCTGAACGAGAGCAAAAGGATTCCCTGTATCTAAAACACATCCTCAGCAGTTCCCTGAAGTCATGCAGTCACACAGTCAATACTGTAAACGAAGGGGAAAAAAAATACAGATAACAGAATGAACCGTGTACCTACAGGAAAAAAAGAGCAGGACAGCCGTTCTGGAAAAGGGAAAGGGTAGACTCTACTTCAGCTGTTCTAAACGGGCAAAAATGAAACAGAAAAGTTCCTCAGATCTTTCTATAACACTTTACACCAAAGCAGCCATTACCAGAAAAGAAAAGCATGGAACTTTTATGCACAGAAGCCAGTTCACAGACACCATCACCCAACGGGCTCAGCGAACGTGTGTGGTTTTACACCAGTATCTGGAAGAGGAAAAAATACGGAGGCAGATACAAACACCGGGAGGCCAAACGTAGGCAGGTCCCACTTCCCAGCTTTCAACAGCATCCAGCAGAGCCAGGAGCCAAACACGAGCATCGCCGGCGTCCGGGGGCACCGGCATCGCCCCCTGACACCGCGCGCTCAACTTGGACTCCAAATGGAAGTTACGTCCCACGAGCTTCTAAACAGGAAAATTATATGATGGCTGACAGTAAAGTAATTTAATTGCACTGTTGCTATGACAACACGCTGCTCTCTTTCTGTTTAATTTGCTTATTTGCCAGTATCCTCCCAAAGGGCCGTATCATACCATCCCCGGTTTTTTTTCTTTCCTTCTCTTTTCCGCTCCCCAGCCGCGTCCTCACGGTGCCGGGGCCCCGCGGTGCCCCC